GATGACAATTTTGGTTAAGGAAGCGAGGGCAGTAGACACCGTCTCCGATTGGATAATAGGAAGGGTTTTAGCCGCCCTCGCGAGAAAGTTGCCAACGGAACATACCAGATGTGGAGAAAACCAACTTTCTCAGCTAACACGTGGTAGACGATAAACGTAAAGGGAAATCTAAGACAGGAAATACTCGCTTGGTCCGAAGGACCTTAACTATAAAAATGTCAAGGCCCCTGGTGGGTACTTAAGACTATCGAGGGTGCGCGCCAAGGATATGCAGACATCTGGGTGCCATCCTGTTCGTGGTGTGTGGCCTGGTCTCTGATGTGAATTGACGTTACAATATCCTCGCGTTTATTAGAAGTCCGCGACGGTTGCCGCGTATGCGTTCTTCCGAATATTCGGCGAAGGAACCGTAGGGATATCGATGGTACATTAGGTCTTACGCTTTGAAGGTACAGCGCTTTGTGTCGCGAAGCCGTTGAAAAGTCGCGTGGTCGGGTGCCGCCACACATAGATAGAATTTGCAGTATCGTAAGTAGATAGGAAAGATTTGCGTTATCAGATAGGTAGGTAAATTTTTTTTCTTTTTTATTATTTAATTTATACTTTACAATTTGTCCAGCTGGACATTTGGCAAATTTTTCTAACTTAATTGGTAAGTAACACGTGGATGGCTAACCGCAGTGAGATACCATCTTCGAATTTGATTATTTTATTTCTTTAGTGAGGTGAGTGTTTGTTCGTTAAGTTATGTACCTTTGAGGTAGGTAAATGGCGAAGATTTATACTTCTTGTTTGGAATTTGGATGCAACGTATGACGTCCGCGCGGCTGAGAACCATAGTTGCATATAATTGTGAGTATTGTAGACAGATAAATAGAGCAGGTTCGGGAAAAATATGTTTACGTATGGATATAATATCCTATGGAACTTTTCTATCCCTTTGACGTATTGTGAGTATATACAGGGTGGTTGGTAACTGGTGGTACAAGCGGGAAGGGAGTGATTCTACGCGAAAAAAGAAGTCGAAAATGTACGTTATTCGAAGAAGATGTTATTCTTTTAATTTTTAAAATTTTTATTCTACATTCTCGACTTCCTTTTTCGCGTAGAATCACCCCCTTCCCTCTTGTACCACCCTGTTACCAACCACCCTGTATAATACCTTAAGACATATTTCGGGTGAACGATTCGTAACGTTTTAGAATTAGGAATATTATTAGGCACGTAGGTAAGCAAAGGAAAGAGCAATATAATCTAATTCTGCTCTCTATCCTGTTCCAAAGCTTCAAATTAGATTCGATGTCAGGCCATTAAATTTGCAGAGAGGACCTATTAGTGGTTCAGATACTTGAAATACACCGCGAACAAAAGATTCCAATTTCTCTTCAGACAAACTATGTTTTTCCTTTGAGAAATGAAATCTCGCCCCTTCGTTGTGTATTTTCGCTAAGCATCCTCTCGTGTAATTTCATTTTCCTTCGAAACACGTTCCAATTTTCGCGAACATTGCAATTACCGTTATCACGAGCACTAAGACTTCTCGCTATTCCGTTATTCCGAACGCTAAGACTTTCCGTTACTCCGTAGCTGTTGATTAAGCTACTTGGATCGTTAGCATAAAATCAGAAAACTTTCCAAAGGTACAGACAAAGTTTGCGCTAGAAACACGCGGCTCTTGTCTCGTTTCTAAATAACGCCAAATACATAAAGATTCTGTTTGATCCTGTAGACTAGCGTACCGAAAGAAAATGACGACAACGAAGACGCTGGAGACGAAAGCGACACCGGAAGTACGAACAGCTCGCATCGCTCGGCCAACAATAATTTATCCACGAAGCTGCTCGATCCCATGTCCTATCTGACTTTCGACAAGGTTTGTCTATTTGAAAATACGTATCTGAGAAATACTACGTACGAGCTACCCTTTTTAATTTACCCAAAACCGAATTAAATCTCAGTCGAGTTACTTACATTTACAGTATCGAATTTTCATTTCTATATACATACATATTTCGTATATTATACAGGGTGGTTGGAATGGTCAATATACAGGGTGGTTGGTAACTGGTGGTACAAGCGGAAGGGGGGTGATTCTACGTGAAAAAAGAAGTCGAAAATATAGAATAAACATTTTCCTTTTAATTTTAATTTTTCCATCGAGACAACGATCTACAGTGAGATCCGTTATAACGAGACGCGATAAAGTGCGCGCGTACCGAGCGAAAATTCAAAGTCGATTTTTTCGAAAACAAGGCCTCGAACGAAAAATTTGTATTCTATATTTTCGACTTCTTTTTTCGCGTAGAATCACCCCCTTTTCGCTCGCACCACCAGTTACCAACCACCCTGTATATTCTGTGTTTTACATATACATTTTACATCAGACATAGTCTCTGATATTTTACGTGTACGTATATGTATTCTGTATTTTATAGCATCGATATCGTCGATGATATTGGACGCGTAAAATACAAAACACGAATTAAAGTATTTGAGAACGTGATAAACGAAATTCTTGTAGATTGTCTATGATCCAATGCCACCGATTCGGTGTTGGTAGCCGATTGATACCTTACGCGTTAATACAGTCGGAATGTAGTCGAAAAAGAAAAGCGTGTCCGTGGAAAAACCTGTATGTGCCAGCTCGTAGACGTAGAGAACGTTTGCTCGAAAGCAAAGAAATAATTAATCGACAACAACTAACAACGATTAACAATTAATCTATCGATATTTCTCTCTATGGAAGCGATGGCGCGACATCATCTTCTAGCGTTATCGATAAATTATTTAGCTTCTCATTATCTCTACTATATACTACAGCACTCTCGTTGACGCGTAAAACATTTTCCAACGAGAAGATCAAAGTTTCTCGATTTTGGCGCTCGCAGTGTTTTCTACAATCGCTCTTCTCTTATCGTTCGAATCTTTATCCAAAGCATTACGTTATCACGTTACAACGTTATTACATATATTTAACGAGTGATTACATGACTGAACAAAAGTAAAGGAGAGATTTGCTTTCGTAACAGGATGGAACGGTTACACCGGTTCTTAATGGCTGGGTCCTCGGCGCTTATACCGCCATGCTTGGAAGACTGTCAGCAGCGACCGCGGCTCTCGAAGCTACGGAAATCCCCAACATTCCGTCTGACAGCGACTCCGAGAGCGAGCATTCGTCTTACACCGAGAAGTATGCGTTCTTTTGGTTATCAGTTCACTTTTACCAAACTCCAGCTCGTCTTACACTTTACACCGTAACGCGCTTAACTCGTCTCGCCTAATGCGAGTCGAGCATTTAAATTCTTGCCTGCTACGGTTCAGGTCGGATAAGACGATGCGAGAGAGACCGGGATACGAAATTATACGTATATATATATATATATATATATATATGTATTGTACGTATGTACGCGCATCGAGGCAACGAGATGTTTGAGCGCAAGGTTTTTATTTAACACGCCATGGAATCGATAAAACGAGACCAATGAATCTGTCCAGTCGGAGGGCGAATCTTCCTCCCTGCTCAACAATGCGAGCGCGTTTCTGATATTTCAAAAATTCAAAGATAAATGGCGTCGTAAATCAACAGCTTTGAAGGATATTGACCAGCGTTGAGTTACGACCGATCCGCGAACAACGATTACGAAATTTAAAAAATAGAAAGAAAGAAAGAAAAAAAAAAGAAAGAATCTTTTTAATTCCGTAGTGCTCCTCGGATGGAGCGGCCTTGTTTTTTCACCGGTTTCCTGTACCGTGATTTATTCCTTTCTTTGCTTTCTCTCGTTGGAATAGCAAGCTTAATCGAAGAATTTCACGTGGAAGTTTAAAGAGAAAGTTGATACCGATCGTTAGAAATTCTATGGAGTCTTAGGAAGAAATTAATAATTTCTTTGGATTTCCTTTCGACGCCAACTTTATCAATTTCATCTGCGAATACTTTATTCTCTACCGTTTCTGTCTCGGCGTAGCTCTGGCTCTTACCGTTATTATCTTTACCCTGCGAATATTCTCTGCAAATTCAAACCGTTACGAATATAACGAAACTTTACTTTGGATATTTTATATATTTCTCCGCATTACGTTGTACCCTGTATATTTCTGTAGCTACGTAAAAATCCCCAGTCTCATAATTATATTAAGTCTGCTTTTCCGTTACCTTGTTACTCGCTTCTTATTTTACACTCGCCCCTATTATTCCAAGCAATTGAAATTCACCATGGGCTTTCAGATCTCGAGGTAGCAGTCCGAACGTAAGCAACGCGCATCGCGGTTATTCCTGTGGTTCCTGTGACGTGGTGGCACCAACGAGGCCAGCTCTGCGAAAGCATATCGTCGATTGTCATCCACCGGTACCCAGCGCGGAAACCGGAGAAACGAAAAGTTGTCCGTCCTCGGGCTGTGACTTCACCACGAACAGCAGATGTGAGATGGAGACTCATGTAGCTGCACACGTGGCACAGGGTATGACGCCCACAGGGAAGAAGCGTACACTGGCTTTGCAACGCGTCAGGTATAGGTACTTAGCGCTTGCTTCGATTACTCTACTTATATCTCCTTGTTCTTCGTATTGTTCAAAGTGATTAGAGAATCGTAGGATCTGTAGGATGTTATACGGCAGGACGATATATATGCTTATTGCGACGTTAAACGTTTAAATAGGATATTACGAGTGGACGCTACGTATTTCAGAAATGAGAAATTCTCTGATTATTTTAGACAATGAATACGTCCATTTAAACCGTCCATTCCATCGTACGTAAATTTATCGGCTCGTAACGAAAACAACATGTTGCGTGTAACGCTGCGGCGCTTTCAATTCTCAATTTCTGTAAGCAAAATATTTATTACATTACGCAATTCTTACAAGTATCCGTGTAATTATATCGCAGAATATAATCGTAGTCAATTAGACTACGTCTAATTAAATTGATTGATTGAATTGGTCGATGTCTATTCGACAACAGCGCAAGATACAAATAGTTCTGTATAATATCGTTTCCTCTGTATCGTGAATCTAACTTCGCCATCCTTAAGGTGAATTACGCTATTTGATTTTTAATAGTTACAGAAATTCGGTTCGCGTGAAAAATAAAGTTGAAGGTCTTCGTGTATGTACATATATACAGGGCGGTTGGTAACTGGTGGTACGAGCGGAAAGGGGGTGATTCTACGCGAAAAAAGAAGTCGAAAATATAGAATAAACATTTTTCGTTCGAGGCTTTGTTTTCGAGAAAATCGACTTTGAATTTTCGCTCGGTACGCCTGCACTTTATCGCGTCTCGTTACAACGGATCTCACTGTAGATCATTGTCTCGATGGAAAAATTAAAAAAAAATTTTTATTATATATTTTCGACTTCTTTTCTCGCATAGAACCAATCCCTTTTCGCTTGTACCATCAGTTACCAACCACCACCCTGTATATATGAAAAGGTCGAGTATGGAATTTTTTTTTTATTATTATTTATTAAAATTACAATCAATTCTCGCGTTGAGAATTTTCAGTAAATTTTCTGGCGTGACGCGGTAACATGGCTAATTATTTATAACAAGTTAACACTTATAGAATCGGCTATGCTATAGAATTGGGAGTATAGAATTGAAACGAAATTTATTGAAAAGACACCGTGTAATTTGTTTGCGTTTAACTTATCTTTCAGACGAGCTAAGTAGTTCCGACTTATTGTACCTTTGAATGTACAGATATGAAAGGGAGGCCAATTATTTATAACAAGTTAACACTTATAGAATCGGGTATAGTTATAGAATTGGGAGTACAGAATTGAAACGAAATTTATTGAAAAGACACCGTGTAATTTGTTTGCGTTTAACTTATCTTTCAGACGAGCTAAGTAGTTCCGACTTATTGTACCTTTGAATGTACAGATATGAAAGGGAGGCTAATTATTTATAACACTTATAGAATCGGCTATGTTATAGAATTGGGAGTACAGAATTGAAACGAAATTTATTGAAAAGACACCGTGTAATTTGTTTGCGTTTAACTTATCTTTCAGACGAGCTAAGTAGTTCCGACTTATTGTACCTTTGAATGTGCAGATATGAAAGGGAGGCCAATTATTTATAACAAGTTAACACTTATAGAATCGGGTATAGTTATAGAATTGGGAGTACAGAATTGAAACGAAATTTATTGAAAAGACACCGTGTAATTTGTTTGCGTTTAACTTATCTTTCAGACGAGCTAAGTAGTTCCGACTTATTGTACCTTTGAATGCGCAGATATGAAAGGGAGGAGTATCGGTGCTCGTTATGCTCGTACGCGTGCACCATCGAGAAAGCGTTCCAGAGGCATTTGAGGGCACACGCGAAAGGCACGGCGCCGGAAACGAGGGTGAGCTGCGCTGTGTGCGGCGCGGACAGATCGTCGGAAGTAGATCTGAGCAGACACATGAGAAGGCATCGCGACGACCGATACTTTTGCTGCGACATTTGCATCTTTCGCACGGTACAGTTAAAAAAGGTAATATTTTCTCTCGGCACAAAAGAGAACTTGGTTATTGGGAACGTCGACGCGCATAGAATTCCGAAACAACGACACAACGACAAGCGTAATCAATGAACTTGGATTGTTTGGAATTCTGGTTGAGTGAAAAGCTCGTATAATCCCTGCACGATCGTAAATTCTACGATACGCGTGCTAGTCTTTTGAATTTCGTAGAACGCTCGGGATACGCTCTACTTTCACCTGTAAATCAAGAGTTTCGTTCTATGTAAATACGTATATCGTACGGATCTACGTACGAGTTTTTCCAACGACTTTTCGCTCATCCATGAATACATTTAAGACCGACGTACATATACGGTTACATTATAGCAACGAAAACCTTCGACGAGGCTTCGAGACGTCAATCTTGTTATTGCCATGACGATGTATTATAAAATGTAGCCGATGAGAACGTGTTACATAACGGAATCGTAATTCTCGGCTGCAGCCTGCTTTTACACGTAATATTCGATACATATTAATATCGAGAAAAACGTACTGTATTAATTGTAGCTCGTTATAATTTCGCGTGTAAGGTTGTTTATCATACGTCGACATGATTTACATATTCGTATAAAGTTTCAAAGAGAATCGCTGCACGATATTAATTATTTGTTCGTAAATTAGAGTACATTATACTTTTATTAATATGTATAAGTCATTTATGAGAAGATAAAGCACGATCATTGTCAATTGACACGGATCAGTTCGTTTTAGAATTCTATACGATATATTTCACGTATGTGAATTATACGTTATTTCGTAAAGATATTTCCATATACGGTGACTACAGAAATAACCAGCATTTGCATATTAATTAATTAGACGAGAAATTTTCTTAAATGTACATATATCGATTTATTAACAGAACGTGTTATGAAATATGTAGCATGAAAATGAAATTTAAAGTCTGATTAAAAAAAAAAAAAACAAACGGTTCGTTGAAGAATAAGGATATATGCAAATACTTCCTACCACAAATACACCGTATGATCTTAATTTGTCCTGCCTCTTGTTACTTGTTCCTATAATCGTTCGTACGCCCATTCGGCTTCGTTTATCTCGTCTATTCTCTATTCGTAAACTCGAGAACAATGATCTTCTGTCTTTGATCAGCTCATCCAACACCGACGAATGCACACGGGCGAGAAGCCACACCTTTGTCCACACTGTGCGTACCGAAGTGCACGCCGTGACAATCTGCGTAGCCACGTTAGACGAGTGCACAAGAAGGAGAATTTATATTGCGACACGTTCAGTCCACGCGGTATGCTGTTGACACCCACTGTCATCGGAAGGGACAGTCCTCTGGTGCAGAGCCCGGAATCCTCGCCGTCGTCCAACTCGGAATCCACGAACTAGCGAAGCAACACGCGACAGGAAGCTTGAAGAGGAACGTGGAAGTTGTGGCCGGGGATCGAGCGGTTCGTCGTTGTTTTACACGTCCTAACTTTGTCAATACTGCGACTTATAGATTTTAGAATCGCGGAGGAGATTTTACATCGGCAACGAAGATCGTGTCATCGCTGTACGAGCTGCTTGGAAAATCGACGTGTTTGATCGTTTTGAAGATGTTGTAAAATTATTAGCATCGATACGCTATCTTAAAGGTACATAAAACGAGGATAGATAGCCTTGGAATGTATAATTTAACGAAATTTGATGATCGGCAAAGCGTGGAATTAATTTAGATTTATTTTTGAAATTTAGTTAAATTTAAGCGAAAGCGAACGATAGAGGAAATTACGCGTACAAGGAGCTTTAAATACGCGAGATTATGAATTTCAAGCGAGACTAGCGACGGTGAAAATAGTCAGAAGTTGTAACAGTAATTTCGAAAGGATTGCAACTCGGTTTTTAGCTCCGCTATACGAATTATATGCCTACGATCCTGATAATAGACTATAATAAGAAGTATACGAGTAATAGTAATAAAGACTCAACTAAGGAGAGTGTGTGCAACTTCTGGCTAATCACGATCGACCTTGCCCTTAGTACGTAGGAATTATGTAGAGAATTGCATGCGAACGTCGATAATTCAATCTAGTCTTTGAATTCTAACGTGATCTTATTATTAGCTGATTTAATTATCAAAGTCTGTTCGTTGATCAGAACGTTGATGAACGAAACTAAAGCTGCGCAATGGTGCTAGAGTCGTAGACTGGATTATAGAGGAAGACTGAAGTAGATGCTTTCACGGTGTGATATTCGTCCTTTGTTTCCCTTTACGCCGTGATTTAAATGTACTCGAATCAGCGATTATTAAGACTGCTGTCCTGATGGCCGAGAGATTCTCAGATATTACAGATCGATACGTCTTACGATTAATCGATTAACGATTAGATAAACGATTAGGTAAAATTCGAAAAGAAAGAAACACGTAAATTTAGCGAAAATCAACTTTATATGTAATTGGACGAATTTCATGCGAAGATCATAGGCGAGGGACACGATAAGCGTACCATTTGTTGATTTTCTAATTTTCACGTCATTTTATGATCTTTCATATTTGTGTCGAACGGAAGAATTTTAACGTGCCATAGCTGAGAATGAAAACAACCAGTTAGGTTCAAAGATTAGTAAGTTTTTTAAAACGAACTAATAAGTCGGTGAAGTTTTGTGAAAGATATAAGTATCGAGACAAGCGATATTTTAATATGATATAGACAAATTTCGAAGAGAATGGAAACCGACTTCTTTTTAAAACTGTTCTCTCGCAAAGAGTAGGAAATGCTACTTATCATCTTGCTCGCCTATAGTCCTCGTACTCGAACGTGTAATTCACCGAATTAAATTTGTTACGGGAATTAAACGTATCGATAACACTTATTTACGTAATACGAAATCTCTGGTCTGTAGGAAAGGTGCTATTTTGCGAAGATAATTTTACCGTCGCGTCCTTCCATATTTAAGCTTCGACTATAATTATAATTGTCCAGCCGTCTAATTACGATCGTTGACGGTATCATTGACAATGATATACATTGTTATTCTTATTATTACGTATCATTACACATGCTATTATTACTGTTTAGCATAACACGAACGCGGTACTATTCTTACGGGGTAATGGAAATCGCAACGATACGTTACTATGTAATAGCGTGTATACGGTGTGTTCGTTAATTGAGGAAAGAGCAGTCCGTGGTAAATTTTATCGAATTTTTCATATAGATAACGATAAGTGACGTGAAAGTCTTCTGTTGGCGGTCGATGATATAATATACGTTCGCTTTAAATAACTTAGGTAAAAAGAGAAAAAAGCAAAAAACGAAGAAAAAATATGCAACAACAGCGTTGTTTAACTTTTTCTCACGTGTTAGATAAAAGGAAAAAAAAAAATAGCTAAGGAATCGTACAAGCGTGTGCATCGAGCACAGAGTGCAGGACTTTCCAACGAAACTACAATACGCAAGCAAACTTCTTATGTGTCTCAAGTATAACTCTTAAGTCGAAAGCTATAGTAGTTCGAAATGCAAACTATTAAACGATTGTCGTCTGTAATAAGCAAATTCACCGACGTTCTCCCGAGAGGGAACATCGGTTTTACTCTGTCCTCACTTGACGCCTATGGAAATTATTATTAAAATATTGCAAATTTTTTCTCTCTTTAGGATCGAACACCGTCCCCGAAATGAAACGATTCGATTTGTCTGTCGTGCATTTTCTGCGAGAAAGAAAAAAGCAGAGAAAAGGGGGAGGCGATAAGGCGAAGCCCAATATACATATAACATAAATGTGTGTCAATTTTTAATGTATCATAACTACGTTCTAGTCGATAACGGTTTTTATGGGGGGGAAGATAACAAGGCACGGGAAGAGGATCTATGCTCCTCGATGCGCAACGTTATGGCTGCGATTAGTACGCTACATTTTTTCTCGTCCGAGACGGCCATATTTTGCGTTTCGCAAAATAAGAAAAGAACGAATAAGAAGCGACTGAATTACGGCGGAGAAAAATTATTACGATCGATCGAATCGATAAAAGGGACGAGCATCGAACGATTTCCACTGTGAGAATTTTAAGTCGTTGATAAGCTCGAACGAACGTTCGAAATTATTTCCACGAACCACGTAGCATTTCGAAAGTTGCTTGTATCGTTGCTTAAAATAATTAGCTCCATTTGTTCGAATTTCTCAATAAAGAATTGGCATTACGTAGTTTGGTATTATCTTAAACGTGCAAATCAAAGACCGAGTACGATCACTTCGGTCGTTTTTTAGCTACGACTTTAATTCTCTGACTATAATAAGATATTTTAATAATTTATATGTATGACAAATTATAATTGGAATTTTCGTATACGAGGAAACTTCGTTAGAATTTGTCGATCTTTATTTCGAGTAAAACAACGTTCCCGTTGATAATTTTAATTTCTACAATGTAGTCGCAATGTAAATTCTGGTTGGTTTAACGCGCGAGCTGAAATTCCAATTTTCTCGTACACGTTCCAATTGATAAGTTTAAAAATGTAAACGATGCTCGTAGAATTGGATCGATCGTAAGAAGAATCATCGACGTCACCTAGAGCCTGTACACATTTTCTCCGCCTACTATGATACGTGTGTTACGTGTACAGTATACAATACTTTCTTGCTTTTTGATATACGTATATTACATTCGAAACGATACTTTATATTTGTGAGACGTTTATTCCAACGGCGTGCGCGGCGAGTTCGCCATATCTTTTATAAAAGCGTAGTATGATTTTACACGTAATAATTATGACGCACGTGTGCAACGTGGCTCCCTTGGTCGTACGAAAAGACAAAAAAAGAGAAAACGGAAAAGACAAAAAGATGTAAAAAAAAAAAAGAAAGAGAGAAAGAGAAAGAGAGGGAACCGAAGAGATAGAGCTAAGGAAGATCCGTCGTTTCTTTCGTTTTTTTTTTTTTTTTCGAACTTTCGTGCATGCACGCGGATGCGATGCTCTGCCCTACGCGTGATAATAGTATTTTTGGTACACGGTCGTGCCACGATAGCAGCTTCCGATCGGAACGGATATCGCGGAACGACGATTGTTGATCGTTGGTATATCGGTGCGTTGCGTATTGTATTTATAATGATAATTCTATTTTTGATAACCGCTCGATTGATTATTCCATTTTAGATGTTGATCGTTCTACGAGGCCGCGTTTAGAATAATTTTCATAGCTTTTAAGATACGTCGCGGGAACGAGCAACCGATACGATCCTTTCCTTTTATTCGCATAAGCATCGTTATAGAACGACTTGGTCCCATGGTCCATGTGAAACGTCTCGGACGTAGATCATTTCGAAACGACGAGAGAACAAGAAGAAGAAGAAGAAGAAGAAGAAAACAAAAGAGGAAGAGACAAACGAGAAATAACTTTGTCACTTTATCGCTTTGTGAACGGATTGCCTTTCGCGAAACGGACGTAGAGCCTCCTCGAGCCGAACGTGTAACGCGATTCATTGGCATTCTGTATTTGAGTATACGGCGGTGCATAATACGTACGATATAGCAAAAAGGTCTTTTTATTATTATACATCGTATCGTCCGAACGATCGATCTCAGGTGCGTCCGAGATTTATTCTAATTAATTAACTCTAGCAAGCTCATTGTTCGTAAATGTCGTGCCAATAGCGAAGGGATAAAAGAGGAAAAGAAGGGAGCGCGTGCCAAAAGATGAGAACGAACGATGGAACGAGAATGTAGCGTTTTAAGAGGATACGAAAGAATCGAGAGAGCGGAGGCTGCGAATCAGTCGGATCTGCTCGATCGTGTATCCCTCTTCTCGAGTTGTTCCTCCTTGCGAGCGATTCGAGCGACGATCGATCAATTAGTCGGATAATTAACTATAAACGAAAATGGAACGGGGATACCGAGCGAGCATCTCCGTCTTGTACGCAATTATACGAACTAGTTGTTACAATCTTTTAACTGTTGAATTTTTGCAGTAGATGGTAAGTGTCTTAACGTATACCTTATATAAACTACACGATAATATATTCTATATTAATGTTTCTTAGATTTACGTACGAACGATCGTCCGCGAGCTTTCGTCGATCATCGTCGTCGTCGAGCACTCAGAAGGCAATAATTTACGAATTAGTCTGCATAATCGATTATTGTACAAACGTTCGAACGATACAGCGCGGACGCGTTGCCGTTGTTCGAATTCAAATTTGAACATTCCGTGGTCGATGGTTCCAAGCGCGGTGCAATCCTTGTGAGAATCGACGATTTTCCATGTAAAGCCATCGGATCGATCGATTCTGGATACCTTCGACGAATTGACACCTACGTAACGATATTGTGATTATGATTCGAGAAACTTGTCGTTGACGTAGAATCGCGATATACGAGAAAAAGAGGAAACATACATCGACCATTACGATTTATACGTGTAATATAATGTTGGAAATTTGAGAGAGAAGAGCGAGAGGAAGACGAAAGGAAAAGACGAAGAAACGCAGAAACGAAACGTAAATAAGGCGAAGGAGATCTCCGTGGAAACGAAACGCAAATAAAAACGTGACAGGTGTTTAAATTTGTCGAAGGACGTCCGGATAAAAAAAAAAAGGTCTTAAACATTAATACAATCTAAATGTGATAATATATTTGCTATATTGAATTACGACGTAATTATTACATATTCTAATTATTGATAACGCGCGAATCGTACGGCAGAAGCGAGCAATTTTAAGAAAGTCCGTCTATCCGTGTGAATTGTATGGCGTGTGCAGCAGCAAGGTGATCGACGAGATCGGATTTCTTTTTTTACGTAAATCGAATACCGTGCCAATAGCTTCAGCGTCTATTACCATCACGGTCGGCTTGGACAAGTACAAAGTATTCGGATAACTTATTTTTTGATTATCGACGGAACGACGGAAAAACGAAGAGAAACCGATCACGCGACGATGAAAAGAGCAAAAAAGAAAAAAAAGAAAAGAACGAGCGACTATGCTCCTTTAAAAATACACGCTCCTTTAGATACAGCTTGTTCGTACGAATTATCGACGAACATCGAATCGAATTAGAACGACGAACGAAATAAGAAAAGAAGAAGTTAAAAGGAAGTAAAATAAAACGAGAAGCACGAGGAAGAAAGAGGAGAATCGTCGCGTCACCTTTGTCTGCGTTTGCGTTCGATAGTACACACGGCAAATCTAACGTTCGGATTTACGATTTGCTTCACGAAATATAAATTAAAAAAAAAAAAAAGACTCTTGCGCTCTACGCATATATATATTATATATATTATATATAAATGTATGTGTATGTGTGTGGGTGTGCCTAAAGATTTTTTCTTCGGATCTATCTATTTCACTCTGTATTTACCATCTCTCTTTGGCCTTCTATTCTCTGTCGCGTTTCCTTGCCAACGTTCTTTCGTCTCTTCTTTTCCTTTTGGGGAAACCGACAGAGAGTGGACCGGTTTGATTGATTCTTAACTGACGATCTATTATCGTTCTTTTTTTTCAACTAATGCTCAATTTTTACAACAGACGATCTTTCTCTTTTGTACGATTATTCGATACGAATATCATTTATTATTATTATTAATATTATAACGTGGTGTGCTAAGCTGATATTATATCTATCGGTTGTTTAATAAATTGCTCGCACGATTAACAGTAAGATGGATAAAAAGCGAAGGAACAAGAAATCGTCAGTTGAGGATTAATCGCGTTGTTTAACAATTGTCTCTCTGTGTTCCGGTTGTACCTATAATATATAATATATATATATATATCCCATCGATCGTTCCTCTTGATAGATGCAGTCGCGTTGTAACCACGCGCGTGCACGGTGCATCTGCTTGCGTAGACGGTCGTAAGCGATCTCGTGTTCCAGAGTATACGAATTATACGTAAGGAATATTCGTCGATGTTTCCGACGATTCGAAGAACCAGATAAAAGTAACTTATTGGGAAAAGAGATATTTTTACGCTTTGATGTTTAAACAGATGTTTCGTTCGAATAGAATGTTTATAAACACGTGACCGTTTTTGCTGTTGTATCGACAGATACTCGATCAGCGTGTCCACGCGAATCATTTTCGCGTCAATTATCGAGTCGATAGATCGCAAAGTACGATCGTCTGTTTCGATGTGAGAAACGTCTCTCTGGATGACTAATCTCGGTGAACAACGGCCAAACGAACTAAAACCGAGACCATAGATCGCTTGAGTGATATCTTTAGTCCACCATCTTTCTTTGTGTATAGCACCCCTGGACGATACGATAGTTTTTATCTGGTTTTATCTCGTATACTCGAAGCTACGTCCCTGTTCATTTGCTAACTTCGTGCGTATGAAATTTAACCTTTCTATCTCGTTCCTATTTCCACGTTTCAATCATCCGTGACGTACCACCTGTTTCGTAGTAACGCCTCTGCGATATATAAATTGTTTATTATTTTTTTTAAACAATCCAAGTACATGTTATTCTTCTTGAGTATTTTTCCGCTGTTAATACAGTTCTTTGATAAATGCATCAGTGTTTCATAATCGTATTACTGCGTTCTTTACGTCAGTCTGATGATATTTATGATCATCGTGAATGCAAAATTTGAAATTCCAAAGTACTGTTATTTGCTTGGTATTTAATACAAACTCAGTCCACGTCTTTATGGTTTAAAATCTTTAACTCGCTGGATATTTCCTATCGTCAAAGATCAGCCACAATTTTTTATCTTCTTTATAGGCTCGAGTCTACCGTTTGGTCGATACAATGCTGCTAATTTCA